AGTTCCTGACATTGTTGGAAGAGTACTCTATCTCAAGAACATTTTTCTTCGTTGGTTCTTTCATTTCTTCTCAAGAGATTTTGTCATGACCTTTCCTCAGAATGACCGTGACAGGAAGCTCAGGGTCCTTTATTTGTCTAGGTCGAGGACGACGTTGGACGAGGCAAACTGGTTGCATGATGAATACGACATCCCTCATGCGACGATGACCATAGGGGTGCCGGACAGCTCAACTCTGGTGCACATGCATGGTGAGGACCGGGTGCCTCTCTACCTGGCTCACCTATAGTGTGGTCTACGCCTGTCGCTGAATCCCTTTGTAAGGGAAGTTTTTGTGGGTCTAGGGGTTTCCGCTTGCCAATTCCACCCACACGCCATCTGCACTTTGATGGCGTTTATAGGCGTCTGCTCCGAGGCAGAGGTGGTGCCCAGCATTAGCTTGTTAGGGCACGTGGTCAGCATTTGACTTTTTTCGTAATACATTGACCGGTGTTTGACCTTCGTCATAACGTGTTGACCGTTATTTGACCTTCGTTGTAATGCATTGACCGGTGTTTGACCTTCATTGCAACACGTTGACTAGCATTGATTTACGCTGTAACGTGTTGGCCGGCGTGAACACAGTTTATAGTCATACGTTAACTATAGTCTACACAGTTTAAGCTCTTAAGGTGTTGGAGCGGGGAGGACAAGTTTATACGCGTATACTCCTGGGACGAGTCACGAGACCGATTGGTGAAGTTAGTGCGTCCGTGACTTTTGTACATTATTACGATTACTCATTCTATTTAGAATAAATAACCATAATACTTATAGGATTTTTTACAAACCTTCAGCTATAAACGGGTTTGACAAGCCTTTACCGATTACCGTTTGAATCGGGCTAGTATGGGGATTGTTTAAGACTGTTCCGCAGGTGACGTTATGCTAAAATAATGAAATCCCTTAGACTTGATGCTACGATATCGAATACGTAGACTTCATCATTTGTCGCGGGCATAGACTACCCGACAACGCGTGTTAGGCGTAGACTTAGGATTTTTGGCAAACCCTCAGCCATTAACGGATTTGATATGCCTTTACCGATTACTATTTGAATCGGGTTTGTATATGAATTATCTAAATCCATTTCACATGTGACGTTGTGCTACAAGAATGAACTCTCTTAGAATTGGTGCTATGATATTGAATACATAGGCTTCGTTCTTTTTACAGGGAAAGACTAACCAGCAATGTGTGTTAGGCATAGACTTATCTCTATTCAGGGATTGAGATAACATCCCCTAGATGTGAATCCTGACGTTCTTTTCACGGAGAAAGGTTAACCGGCTATGCGTGTTAGACATTGACTTATCTCTACTTAGGATTCGAGATAAAATTCCCCGTACGTGTAAGGCAGAGATTTTAACATTATTAATAACAGCCTGCCACGATGTCGAATATGTGGGCTTTTGTCATTTTTACGGTAAAAAAGTAACCAACGACGCGTGTTAGGCGCTGACTTATCCCTACTTAGGATTCGAGATAAAATTCCCAGTGCGTGTAAGGCACGGATTTTGGCGTTATTAATAACGGTCTGTCATGATGTCGAATACGTGAGCTTTTGTCCTTTTTGTAGTAAAAAACTAATCGGCAACGCGTGTTAGTCGTAGACTTATCTCTATTAATAACGGATTTAGGGATCGAGATAAAGTTCCCCAGAATAAATTCTGGTGTCTTTTTTACGGTAAAAGACAAACCGACAATATGTATTAGGCGCTGACTTATCTGTACCTAGGATTTAGGATAAAATTCCTCGTGCGTGCAAAACACGGATTTTGGTGTTGAAAGGTTGTGTCTTCTCTTGGGGCAAAGACGAACCTGATACTGGAGAGGAAAAATTTTATATTCTATCTCTAGGTGCAAAAGAAACTCAAAGTGGGATCTCCACTTCAAAAATCAAAAAAGATTCGGATAACCCTAAATGTCGGAAGGTTTGATTACCCAACCTGAAGGTGGATTTCTCGTTTATCAAGAGTTTACACCAGCTTTGGCCCTAATTGTAGGAATGTTTAACCAAGTGGGAGGTTTGAGACAACCCTAACTGTAGGAAGATTTGATCGCTCGATTTGAAAGTGAACATCTCGTTCATGAAAGGAATTGAGAGGGAATTTTGGCTTTGGTCCTAACTATAGGGAGATTTGACCAAGAAACAGTGGGAGTGAAGATACAAATAACACTGGGAATGTTGACTTGTACAAATCACTCAATGGGGTTTTAGTGTCAAGTGGCTAGGACTTAACACGAAGGGTTTGATGATTACCATGGATCAGCAGCTTGAATTTTTGAATACTGTGTTGAGACTTTAACATTGAGAGTGTTAAGTGCACCAACACAATGGGAGTTTGTATGGACTCAGCCGAAATTTTTTTGGTGGACTCACTGTCAGTTAATTTGATCAGTGAGGGACTTTGTGGTGGATGACCGTGAATTGTCAAGCACCCCGCAGTTACATCATGGGAGTTTCGTGAGGGAAGATTGACCGAATGAGATCATTTAATCTCATCTCTACGAAAGAGTGCTCGGAAAATCACAGTGGAAGAGTTTTAACCATCTTGAAAATGATTAAATAACCATCATGGGAGGTTCTTAATCACTTCTAATCTATGATTAAGGATGAATTATTCAGATGATTGGTTTTCACCTTTATAACCAGCTGATCTCGGGTTATCCTTAAGAATAACATACATAGCATTCTCCCAGAACTTCCCATTGGAACGTATTGAGGTATTCCCACCCCAGCTCTTTAGCAAACCTGAATCCAATTGTATTCGACCACATTGTCGAGTTATCCTTAAGAATATTAAGAGTAATATTCTCCAGGAACTTCCCGTTGTTAGAAATAAGGGAAGCAATTTAACCTCGTATACCCGTCGGAGGAATGGGAGAATCAGTTTAACTTCTTATACTCATAAGAGGAGAGGGTTCTCATTCAACTTATTTCGGCGTTATGATGCTGACGTCAACCAAGGCTTGAATGATGTTCTTGAGAGTGAAGCAAGCCTTGGTGGGATGAAGGATCCTTCTGTGGTACACACAGTACTTTTGATCCGAAGTGTTGTTAGCTTCCTCCTGATTCGTAATAGGTGGCAGCTTGATTTTGTTGTTTTCAAGGAGGTATTTGAAGATAGCTGGAACCTCTTCATCCTTGAAGGAGTACTTTTTTTGGACTCTCAGATCCGGAGTCACTACTAGAAACAGGACTTTTAGCGACGGACGAACAAATCCGTCACTAAAACGCAAAAATCCGTCGCTAAAACCTTTAGTGACGGAAAAATTAAAATATCGTCGCCAAAATACCGTCAGTACAGTGAGGGTAGCTAAAATAACCTTTGGCGATGGATTTTCTGTCGCTAAATGTTAGCGACGGAACATTAGCGATGGCTAATCTGTCGCTCTATTTTTTTAAAAAAACAAAAAAACATTAGCGACGGATTTTCCGTCGCTAAAAACACATTAGTGACGGATATTCCGTCGCTAAAAATAACATTAGTGACGGAAAATCTGTCGCTATAAAAATTTTAAAAAAAGAAAAATTATTTTTAAAAATTGAAAAAACATGTACAATAATATAATAAATTTAAATCCCTGTTCAATCAGAAGTATAATATTCATTCTCACGTATATATAACACAAATATTTTAATAAAAATATCCCAACATAATAAATATTGTTTATACAGCACACACCATGATAAATATTATTTATACAACACACACTCATTCACTGTTTTTAAAGGTAAAAAAACAAATCAGTCCTCCTGATCATCATCATCATCATCCTCATCACCAGCTCCACCTGCAAATATAAGTCCCGGCCTGCAAATATAAATCAAACGTTAACAACATGGCATGACATGCAAGTATAGAATTAAGATAGAGTATCATGGCATATTCTTATGTATTACATGTTTCAGAGAGAGTATCATGGTATATTCTTATGTATTATACTCACGCACGCATAATTTTTACAACAACGCATGCACACACCCTAACCCCACCCGCAATTTTCTCACCATACGCGCATGCACGCATACACGTACACACGCGTATACGCACGCACGCATGCACGCGTGCACACATGCACGCACACGCGTGCACGCGTGCACCACACTCCACACAATTAATATGGAAACAAACTAGTTATCAAAACCCATCAACTATTAGTTTGAGATTATTTTCTTCCTCCAACATAGACAAACATAAAGTAATATCCAAGCATGAACCAACACACAATTAATTTGAAAGGTAAAAACAATACTCATATTGTTATATCAACTTTCCCTTAAATCACCAAATACATGGTTGTCATCTACAATTTATAAGCATAATATGTTGTAGTTCAAAGATCTAAACTGATAGGGAAGCAATATAAATGGTCCTCCTCCCAGTTTGATTAAAAAAACTCCAGCCTCAAACAGCAGCAGGTTTCATTACACAATTTAATCATTGCATCTTTTCAAACATAGTTCTCTTCTCATTCTGACTGTATATTATTCTAAAACTAGAAGAGAAAACTCTAGTGCGGTTCAACTATGTCTAATTCCATATAAAACCCATGGAGTTAATGGTTAGGAGTCTTAGGACTTAAGAGATAGACATACAATATGGATTCGAGAAACTATTAAAAATCGAAGTCAATAATTGCACAGATCATGTTGTTGGTGTATTTTTTTGTCCTCTCTGATTGGATAGATTGTAGTATAACTAAAGACCAAAAGACCTGTTGATATTGTATTTTTTTATTTTTCAGAAAAGAAATACAAAACAATCCCATTAAATCTAAAAACAGAACCTTGAAAAAAAAGTAAAATTAATAAAGCAAACATAAGATGGCCAATACCCGACAATGTGAACATGAAATAGCAGCAGAGTTACTTGATTTCCCAGCCTTGTCTTTTATCTGCAAAAATTTACAACAAATAAAGGCAGCAGAGTTACTTGATTTCCCAGCCTTGTCTTTTATCTGCAAAAATTTACAACAAATAAAGAAAATTGCATAAAAGGAATTTCAACCCCAAAAAAATAGTATATTGTAACAACTTTTTAATAAATTGCATAAAAGGAACTTCAACCCCAAATCCAGCCCTTAGTTTACCACCGATGCTCATCATGTCAAAGAACCACAAATCAGTTGGTTCTGAGGGCACAATCCTGAGTTTTCCATTCCAAAGAACTGAAACAAACATTAAAATTAGTTACCTCATCAATATCACACATGACAACTTTTCTACAGTGTTGTGCCTAAGAATTTCCCTTGCAGTGGACCCCTCTCCTCCTCCCATTATGAAAGTAGTCTTAGGACTGAAACAAACATTAAAATTATAAAGAGGAAAATGCATTGTATTAATTAATTTATCTATTTTCTGAAAACCAAAATATATCTTAAATTACTTAAAGAATTGTACTCTTGGTGGCGGAGCAATGCTGGATGAACTAGGGACTCATGATATATAAATTCATCAATCTCTGCACTCTGAAGCTTTCCATCTATAACTAAAGCCTGCAGTTAATTAGAATAAACAAAAGCTTTCCATCTATAACTAAAGCCTGCAGTTAATTAGAATAAACAAAAAGCAGAGGCAGAGATAAGTAAGTATAAAATGATCCTAACTAAAGCCTGCAGTTAATTAGAATAAACAAAAAGCAGAGGCAGAGATAAGTAAGTATAAAATGATCCAATTAGAATAGCTTCAACAAAAAAAGATCTATCATTTATCATAAAAATAATAGAAAAAGAAAGAAAAGATAGAAACAAAAGCCCTATACATGCAAGTGTTCCGAGACTCTCATCCTCTTGAAATTAATTGTTTTCAGCGCTCAATACAAAAGCCATATGAGCTGTGAATCTAATGAAACTGATCAGCTCACCATGAAACACATTGCATACCAACAATAAAAATCTTAAATTAACCATTGTCAATTTTGAGACTGTGTGTGATCTTAATTATAGAATTTAGTTTATATTGCTCTACAACACATCAACATAACTTCAAGATTTCAATTCATGTGTTCAAATATGGCATCTAAAATACAACTACATACACATAAAATTTTACCTAGATATAAATATACATCAAAACATTGTCAACAGCTCGTAAGGGTCAATTAAATGTATCATATCATAAAAAAATTCAAGCATGTAATCTTGCTTGTTAAGTTAGCAAATTATCACAAATTTCTGTTGAAAACGATGTAATAACAAAAGTTTCAAGCACACATATATCTGATTGTTGAGAAATTATACAAAAACAAACAACTCAGTTATCAGACAAAATTCAAACAATAGATGAAACCCTAACTTAGAAACCCTAACTAGAGTTCCAGCACAAGCATGCCACAGATCATTGTAAAGCTCATCCTCAGCTTCTGTAATTGAAACAAAAGACATCATTCAGCCACTGAGCCACAATTTCCAACGAAATCGAGTCCGATCACCACCTCTTCAGGTGGAAGCGGAGGATCGGGTTCGAGGCCGACATCGGAGGCGGGACCCGCTAACGTCACCGGAGGATCGGGTTCAAGGCCGACAGCTGAGCGATTTGGGGCCCCCCAACCGGGGGGCCTTGTTCTACGGAACCGGAGGAACCGCCTCAGCGGCGCCTCTGCTCCTACTCTCCCTGTAACCTCAATACAAATTCGAAGCCGAGATGTCATCTATTTCCTTAATAGATCGCAAATTGAGGGAGGAGAGAGTACCTTGAGAGAGAAAGAGAGAGGGAGGCGGCGGCGACGCGGGTCTGGCCGCGGCTCGTCGGAGGCGCTCGGCGCGGGTCCGACGGCCGGCAAATAGAACGAGGAAGGGGAAGGGGGGAATGAAGAGACGAGAGGGGGAAATGGAAATTGAGAGATGGATTTTGGGGATAAATCCCTCTCTCGGGCGCGGGCTGCCCAAATTTTTTGGGCACGCCCGCGCCCACAAATTTTTTCCAACAATTTTCTTTAGCGACAGAATTTCCGTCGCTAAAAAGCTTTTTAGCAACGAAAATTTTCCGTCGGCAAAAAACTTTTGCAGATGGAATAATAGTGACAGAATTGTCCGTCGCTGTAACATAACTTATAGCGACGGAAATTTCCGTCGCTATTAGTCCGTCGGCAAAACCCCATATTCTAGCAGTGTTCGCTGCTTCAGAGGTTGCTGTTGTGACTTCTGATTAGCATCAACAGCCACTGCAAGTGCCTTTCCCTTACCTCAAGAAGAAAAATTCTAGTTCGGGGGGTTAGTCGTCAGTTGGCCCCTTTCAAGTTTTTTATTTTGAGAAAGCGTTCGTCCTATTCCGCACATAGTTTTAATTCTTTCCATGTTGTAGATGGCACGACACTCAGGGCTTCTAGCACATCAATGGAGAGATTATTGTGACATGTTTGCAAGATGAATTCCTCTGTGACTGCAATTCATTGCCTTATTGTAGAAGCATTTAACAAAGCTATCAATTGACTCCCTGTCCTTTTTCTTCTCGTCCAAAAGGCCTTCGATCGACACTTTGGTTTCATCATCGAAGAAGTTATTGAGGAACGAGCTTTCCATGTTGTTCCAGTTGTTGATAATTTATGAATTAAGACGGCAGTACCAATCAAAGGTGGCCCCGCGAAGGGTGCCAACGAATGACCGGACCATCAAAGGTTTATTGCCGGAGATCACACCCAGGTGAGACTTGAAGTAAATTTGGTGTTGAGTGGGTGAGACCTTTTCGTCGAACGACATGAAGTTAATTAGATTAAACTTTGCCGTATACGAGATTGACTCCCACTCCTTTGCGTAGGGACATGGAATATCAGTCTTCTTCACCTCTTGAGCAGACATCAGTGCGTTGATCTTGCTCTCCATGTCTTTCATTTTTTTTATCCTCGCCCATATTTTTCTTCGGGAAATTTTGGGGAGGAACAACTGGACCACCCCTAGCGTTGTCATCCTCGGTTGGACTACCCTAGCATTTTGGACAACAGGAGGGGTATCAACGTTAAGATTCTCTTCCACTTCTGAATCGCTATCTGCTTGATTAGTAGTGTTGTGATAGTTAGATTCGCCAATCTGATTCGATAAGGCTTGAATCTATTGATCATGCAATTCCCTTATCCGCTGCACAGTCATTTCCATTTCGAATTTGGAATTCTCTTTCTGCTTGGCCAGAGTGTCTTCGAGGGTTTTAGACATTTGTTCAGCATTGATCATAAACTCCTCATGAGATTGTCCTATGCTAGACACCGTATTGTCAGAAGCGATCGCGGAGTTGGCGTCTGACATTTCATCCTCCGAGGAGCGCCTCTGCTCCTACTCTCCCTGTAACCTCAATACAAATTCGAAGCCGAGATGTCATCTATTTCCTTAATAGATCGCAAATTGAGGGAGGAGAGAGTACCTTGAGAGAGAAAGAGAGAGGGAGGCGGCGGCGACGCGGGTCTGGCCGCGGCTCGTCGGTAGGGCACGATAGGGCGGCGGCGCGGGTCCGGCGCCGGCAAAGAGAACGAGAAGGGGGAGAGGGGGGAATGAAGAGAGAGAGGGGGAAATGGGAAATGAGAGATGGATTTGGGATAAATCCCTCTCTCGGGCGCGGGCTGCCTAAATTTTTTGGGCACGCCCGCGCCCAAATTTTTTTCCCAACAATTTTCTTTAGCGACAGAATTTCCGTCGCTAAAAAGCTTTTTAGCAACGAAAATTTTCCGTCGGCAAAAAACTTTTGCAGATGGAATAATAGTGACAGAATTGTCCGTCGCTGTAACATAACTTATAGCGACGGAAATTTCCGTCGCTATTAGTCCGTCGGCAAAACCCCATATTCTAGCAGTGTTCGCTGCTTCAGAGGTTGCTGTTGTGACTTCTGATTAGCATCAACAGCCACTGCAAGTGCCTTTCCCTTACCTCAAGAAGAAAAATTCTAGTTCGGGGGGTTAGTCGTCAGTTGGCCCCTTTCAAGTTTTTTATTTTGAGAAAGCGTTCGTCCTATTCCGCACATAGTTTTAATTCTTTCCATGTTGTAGATGGCACGACACTCAGGGCTTCTAGCACATCAATGGAGAGATTATTGTGACATGTTTGCAAGATGAATTCCTCTGTGACTGCAATTCATTGCCTTATTGTAGAAGCATTTAACAAAGCTATCAATTGACTCCCTGTCCTTTTTCTTCTCGTCCAAAAGGCCTTCGATCGACACTTTGGTTTCATCATCGAAGAAGTTATTGAGGAACGAGCTTTCCATGTTGTTCCAGTTGTTGATAATTTATGAATTAAGACGGCAGTACCAATCAAAGGTGGCCCCGCGAAGGGTGCCAACGAATGACCGGACCATCAAAGGTTTATTGCCGGAGATCACACCCAGGTGAGACTTGAAGTAAATTTGGTGTTGAGTGGGTGAGACCTTTTCGTCGAACGACATGAAGTTAATTAGATTAAACTTTGCCGTATACGAGATTGACTCCCACTCCTTTGCGTAGGGACATGGAATATCAGTCTTCTTCACCTCTTGAGCAGACATCAGTGCGTTGATCTTGCTCTCCATGTCTTTCATTTTTTTTATCCTCGCCCATATTTTTCTTCGGGAAATTTTGGGGAGGAACAACTGGACCACCCCTAGCGTTGTCATCCTCGGTTGGACTACCCTAGCATTTTGGACAACAGGAGGGGTATCAACGTTAAGATTCTCTTCCACTTCTGAATCGCTATCTGCTTGATTAGTAGTGTTGTGATAGTTAGATTCGCCAATCTGATTCGATAAGGCTTGAATCTATTGATCATGCAATTCCCTTATCCGCTGCACAGTCATTTCCATTTCGAATTTGGAATTCTCTTTCTGCTTGGCCAGAGTGTCTTCGAGGGTTTTAGACATTTGTTCAGCATTGATCATAAACTCCTCATGAGATTGTCCTATGCTAGACACCGTATTGTCAGAAGCGATCGCGGAGTTGGCGTCTGACATTTCATCCTCCGAGGAGTGTCCTCTATCTGGTCTAGGTCGTCTAGTTCCTGACTGTAACCAAGAAATGCGTTGAGATGCCTCCGAGAAAGAGTCAGGGCTGTAACGTCTTGTCAATTTTTCTTTATCGACCACATTGATGGTAACTTTTGGAAGCTCGTCATCATGACCGGTAGATTTCTTCTTTGTAGACACGTCTTGATTTAGATTTGGATACTTCAGTGGAGATTCTTTCAAATACCAAGACCCTCAGTGGAGCGGTCTTGGGGTAGCTACACTCTGTTAATACTGTCCTTATTAATCTCTCACAAGAACAGTGAGAGTCTAATTCTGGGGTACTTCTCTTTCGAAATTTATTCGTACCCCTAGCCCGATAGTACAACTCATCGATGTTGTAGTCGGAGCAACCTATTAGCTGTTGGTTTGAGTCTCCAGGTATAAAGTTGTCGTTCGACAGACATGTTTTCTTCAGAATGGGTAACGCCTTGTTGGCGTTCGCAGGAGTCGCTCGTTTGGGACCACGCCCTCATGAGGGTGTGTCTTTAACGGGCTAGATCCTGGTCTTCTGTACGCACCCCCAAACAGGCGGTTACATGAATGGTCTTGTTGGGAGGTCGTGTAAGACCCTCCAGTCCGGTGAGTTGTTCGAGGTTCATTCACTAGGCCCAAGCGTTCTCTGATCGAAAGTTTGCCTCGATCCCCATGCAAAGGATCAAGGCGATTAGTGATCTTCATCTTGAATTGGAAAAGAATCCACGCTGCCGTGAGACTTCACCAAAGGTACTGGATCAACTTGAATAGGAACGAAAGCGGACAGGGACTTAGAAATGGCCGCGAGATGCAAGACAAGTGCCGGCCAGGCTGAGCTGGCTCGGCCATGGCGCGGGCCAACTTGAGGTGGCTCGGCCCTTT